GGTCAGGCTTTGGTTAACTGAAGGCTCCGGGGTGTGAATTCCTCAAGAAAATTCACCTGCCTTGGCCTGGGCAACCTGACAGTATTCCGCCCACGCGCAACTCATGGAACGTTTTTCTTTTTATGAAGATTCTTGTACCATGATTTGCTTGACACACGGTCTGTCCTCAGACAAGTGTGAAATATAATAATAATAATACCTCCACAAGAATAGTAGGGAAAAATGGCCAATAATTTGGCAAACTTGGACAATAAAGATTGAGACAAAAAGAGGCTGTTTATAGAAAAGCGTACCGCAGCGTGACTCACCAGAACACGTGATCTGACCGCAGTTGATTGCAAACGAGTGTTGCGTAGTTGGCAAAATAACATTTGTGTGAACCTGAAGATACACCAACTCAAGCAATAGAAAGATGTTACTGAATTCAAATCTGGGAATTACCTGGTTTTCAGTGAACGGAAGTTTATTAGCATTGTTAGCAGGGAAATTTTGATAAACGGGTTGTGCAAAAGGCCTCCATATAAGGACCGTGTCATAGGATCACTCACTGGTCTACTTCGTATATTTGTATTTAATTTTCTATATATTTTTTTATTACACACCTAAGTGTGAGACAACTAAAGAACGCTTCATTTTTCACCAAGCTGCGCGCTCGGCTTCTTCCACCGTCGGTAATCGAACATTCTGGTCTCTCGCTAAAGCGGTTTCACGTAAATTCNCAGATGTCTTCGCTTCCCGGTTTGCCTCCAACTCCACCTTATCTGCCTCCTCTACTATTCAACCCTCCTCCCACACATCCAGTCACTCCTTTCTTCCGATCATAACAACCAGAAAGGTCCGCCAAACTCTTCGCGGTTTGAATGTTTGTAAACCACCCGGTTCGGACGGTATTCCACCTGCCGTCCTAAATATATGTGCTCCGGAGTTGGCCCCTGTTCTACGCCACTTTTTCTGTTATTCACTCGAACTTAAATCTTTCCCTACTCCATGGAAAAATGCCATTATTTTTCCAATCCCAAAGCGCGGCGACCCTTCCGACTCCAACAACTACTGTCCCATCACTCTTATATCTGTAATCTCGAAAGTGTTTGGAACCATTATCTCCGACCAACTGCATACGTCTCTCGAACGCGAAGGTTTGGTAAATGACCGTCAATATGGATTTCACCCTCGTCGATCTACGGGTGACTTACTGGCTCTCACATCACATTCCTGGTTGGCTGCACTCGATAACCACGGAGAAACTCACATGGTCTCGCTCAACATTTCAAAGGCCTTCGACCGCGTTTGGCATGAAGGTCTGCTGTCGAAATTACCCACGTTCGGATTCCACCCGTCTCTGGTATTGTGGCTTCTTTGTTTCCGCAAGCGAACCATCTCCGTCCGAGTAGATGGGTCCTATCTCGGCCATTTCCTGTAAACGCCGGTGTTCCCCAAGGTTCTATACTTTCACCACCTTTCTCTTATTTATCAACGATCTTTTATCCCAAACATCTAATCCTATCCACTGCTTTGCCGATGATGCCACTCTCCATTGTTCTCTTTCTTACCCCACAATCCGTCAAGCTGATACAAACATCGATCACGATTGTCATGTCATTAGGCTTCTCTTGCCTCCGATCTCGGACTTATCTCCGCATGGGGTTCTACCAACCATGTGTTTTTCAATGCTTCCAAAAATTCTCTCCTCTCAGCGTCTTTTAAATGTCTCTTTTTCTCCGAACCGGAAGCGAATCAACAGCTGTGGCGTTCTTGTTGTCGTTTCTTAGGTCAGAATGCTTGAAACAGTATGTATGCAGAGTTCGATTACCACTGACCTTGTATGCATTGCGAGGTTGGCAGCGATCAGTGAAGTTCGCCTCACTGTATTTCACTGTACGATAATGATAATGATGAGTTGATTTTTGATTCTTTGCCCCTTCATTCCACAAACTCTTTCTTCCTCCTGGGTTTATCGATAAATTCTTCTCTCTATTGGTCCCCTTTTATCTCTACACTTGCCTCTCGCGCTGCGCGCAAAGTTGGTTATCTATTCCGCGCAAGGTGTTTCTTTACACCCAAGCACCTTTTATACAAAGCTCAAATTCGCCCGATGCTTGAATACTGCAGTCACATATGGGGTGGGGCTTTGTATTCCGCTCTTTCTCTTCTCGACCGTGTTCAACTTAAAGCCATCCGGCTGATCGACGAACCGTCTTGAACTTCCACCTTGCAGCCGCGTTCCCATCGTCGGGCAGTTGCTTCGTTATCTCTTTTCTGTCGTTGCTATTTTGGTTTCTGCCCTTCCGAACTCGCTTCAGCGGTTCCCCTTCCATTGACCTCTCGTCCATCTCGTTCTCAGGCGGACAGTCACCCTTATCAGGTTTCTGTTCCCAGCTGTCGGACTTCTATCTTTCAATCTTCTTTTTTCCCTATGACTGCGAAATTATGGAACACTTCCCATTTCCGTGTTTCCCAGCTCTTATAACCCTACCCTTTTCAAAAGCAGGAATAAAAAATTGGTTCTTACTTGAATGTTTCTCCACATACCTCCCCCTTACAGTATATCGTTGATTATTGGATTTCCCCCTTTTGCTGTAAATCACTTCGTGTGTAATAAAAAAGTGTGATGAACAGCGGACGGGGTGAATCTCAGTCACGCAGACCTGCTGTTCAGTGGTGGACACCGGCGACCTAGGCTCCGGGACTTGGAGTGATGAATCACATAAGGCCCCGATAGGTTAGGCGTGGTATTGAACCGGACGACAGCAAAGCTGCTTACCACCAAAGTCGGGTGGCAGTGGCGGGGCTCGAACCTCGGACCATATGGTCCGATGCACGCCGGTGACAGCGACTAAACCACTATGCAACCACCACTATCGGCCTGGTCCAGTTTGGAAGTGGATGATAGACTATTTTCACAGGTTTTATCCACAGGGGCATGATCTTATAATTTAACTCTTGAGTTATTTTGTATAACCGCAGAGAGAAAATAATATTACCAATCGAAGCCATTAGAACGAGTCAACTGTAACCAGTCAATTGTCCATTTCAGGATGCCGAAGTCAAAAGTAATTGACGTACGTCCCAAGAGGCGGAAGACACAGCACAAGAATGAACAGCTCAGTACACCTGTTTCGTTGGAGCCTGTGAAGAAAATTGTGAATCATGCCGGAGATCATTTGACGGAGAAATTTCGTTTTAATAAAGTTAAAGGTCGGGGACATGGAGATAAACACTTTTCAAGTGAATTCCATTTGGGAAAAGGTCAAAGACTCATGTATGCTGGAGCTGTTCTTTGTGTTGTTTTGGCAGTAGGGCTTGTCAGTACAGGCGTTCATCAGTGGTATTCGTGGCGCTTGGCACAATCCGTGAAAACACCTCTAAACGTGCCTCCCGTCATCACGGAGGATTCATCACCCAGTGACCTTTTTTGGGGAACTTACAGACCTGGATTCTATTTTGGCTTGAGACATCGAGGTCCACAGTCGCTCATTTTTGGTCTCATTTGGACGGTGCAAGATGTTTGGAATCCTCGTTTCCGCCACGTATGCGACCCATATGATGGAGTTCTCAGGTGAGTTTGATACCATTTTACAATACCGTTGAGTTAAATTGGTCTGTTGGTGTAAAATACCTGCCGTGCAGTCTTTTGGGAGGAGTACATGATGCAGTTAAACAGACCTCCATTCCGTCTCACTCAGTGTCTTGGAGTCAAGTTCTTGTCAGAACTAAATACATTGGTTGAGAACCCTAGTAGTTCTGCTGATTATTGGTTAGAGTCCTTAACAGTATCCGTCAATAAAATTGAAATGAACATAAACCAAAATAATACCATACTGCATCGTTGTCGCGCAGAGTAATCAGGACTGCGCTGCGCTGCATCAAGTGGGTTGAGCAGCGTTACTTGGGTTACTTTTCAGATATCTGGACTTTGTTAACTTCCTTGTCTTCCATACTCAGCTTTCTTTACCCCCTCTTCTGACCTGTAACAGTCCCTCAAGCAATTTAGCTGTCGCTCGCCAAAGATCGCTACCGAATACCATTGTGTCGCATGGATTTGAAGAATAGAAATCGGATGCAGGCACTAAGATACCAACTCAATATAACTTGGTGTCGCAAACGTTGGCCCTTGTGCATCTAGCTATTATCCTTGAAACCTTGGTCTTCGTAAAATCTCTATTTCCATTTCTGACACTGATTTGAACATTCCAATTTTCCCATTACTTTTTCATCCAAATAGGTAGTCGTGAAACAGCAACCAAAACCCGTACATGTAAATGCATGTTTGTTATTTGGGTAGCTTCATTTCGAATGATGGACGGATCACGGATGGCTTGTCGGCACACATACAGAAGGTCCAATTAGCATTTGCTAGCTTGAGATATTTATGGCGCAACATTCGGTTGCCTGTGAAGGTTCGAATGTATACTGGAGCAGTTCGACCAGTTCAGCTCTACAGTGCAAAAACTTGACCATTACGAAAACAGGATGGAGATTGACTATCGATGTTCAAACCCTGCTGTCTACATCGCAGTGCACGAGTCTGGTAGGGCAACTGGACGATACCGAAGTTAGGCGAAGTTAGGTAACGACGGTCACCCACTGGAGCAAATGGTCCCCTCCATAGACTAGGTTTGTTGGGACTTGTTGCGCATGTCATCAAAAAACTACCGCGATGCGCGATGTTTTCCGAGGCAGGCAGTGGATAAAAAGGGGAGTGGTAAAACTCAGACCTGGCATGGGGGTATGAAACCCCGACCAGGAGACTCGGTCATATAGGTCACGTTAAGCTTCCCGGTTGGGGACATCGAGGTCATTGTGATCAATGGTTAGTGAGACTTAGTGATACGACTGAGTGTCATAAACAGTATTGCTCGTGCATCTACACATTTCCATTTCCAATTGGACACGGATTTCAACATTCCAATATTCCCTTTGCTGCTTCATTTAAATATATGGCTAAAAGCTAGCAGCCAAAACCACCGCACGAAAATGTATAGTTAGGGATTGTTTAAGCTAAAACTGAAAATAATGGAGACGTCTCTTTTAACTGAATTGGTGGTTGCGGTGTACTCGTTCTTCTGACCTACCTTACCTTATTCACTACGCCACAATAAATTGTTAATTTATTCTGTGATCGCATGCAGTTAAGCTTTATTGTTTGACTTTCTGTATTTTTTTGTTATTTGATGCATGCAACCAACACCCTTGATTTTCACAGTTATGGAGCATTATCAATCATTTAAATATATCTTCTTCAGTTGTACGTCGCTATAAACATTTGCTTGTTCCTCTTGAGCAGGCTTCCCTCTATTTCCAAGTGTTATTATCTACTAGCAGTCTGAGTTCGATTACTTCAATCCAGTGAATTATATATTTTTCGATTCGCATCCATTTTCCCCTTTGTTGCTAGTTCTTTATTCTCTGTTTCGTTGCCTCATTTCATCACTTGATTCCTCACAGACTTTGCTTACTTCTGTGGTATTTCTGTGGTATGTCTTTCGACCAATTATCACGGACTACGTTTCTAAAAGGTGTTACATTGGTGTTATCGTAGCTTACAATAAAGCCCAATGTTGCATTCTCTGGTAAATGCCCTTATCTGCATTTCCGTGGTTCATCAACTAATGCGCTTTGTTTCTCCTATATCCGCTTTCTATCAGACTCACGTTTTGTTGCGGTAATTATTAATCATCATCCGAGCTAGTCTAATGCAATTTCGATGCTTTATCCGTCGATTCACTTGGCTTACTCCACTCATAACATATTCCAAATGGACGGAACCCATATAACCACTGGATAGAGTAACTTTCGTCATAATTTTTCTGTGTCGTTGCTTGACAGTTAACTAATTTAAACAATTTAATCAATAATAACCTATTTCAGTTACAATTGGCTTGAACATGATGGAAGAAACTTTGGTATTCAACAAATTGTGGATTTAAAGCATATCATCACCGTATCGTTTGCAAAACAATCACCTGATATTGCCAACGGTGATTGGACCGTGCGGATCTCTGCTGTCGCCATCAATCGAGTAAGATGATATTTACATACATTTGCATAGTTTCTCATATCGCATCAATCTTTGATGTAAAAGAGTAACTGAGAACGAGCTTCACATGTTCCGGCCTATGCCCTTTTCGTCCTTCTGTTCACGTTGTTCAGTACTGTCATCAAATTATGTTGCTCTACAAGAGGGAGACCAACAAATTGTGCCTTAAAGTGATAGCTATTTCGCAGATAATTAGCATTCCAATTGCGGAAGCGTGACTGAAACACTCGTAAAGAAGCCTCTAAAGACCCGTCACACAAGGCCTTTGGCTTTCGATTTAGTCTAGTGTTCGTTGCTGTGTTGATTATTGTCAGTCCCTTGTTCGGAATCGGACGTTAGTTACATGCACCCAATGAGACAAGCGGAACGTGGACGGGACAGCCCTTTATTGACTGGTGCTGCTCAGCTTGGGTGGGTAGTAGCTGTCCAGTGAAGTGCGAATGCTTCTCGTGCGGCACCCCGCTTCTACGTCCATCTAGCGGGGACGGGTAAACTGCCCCTCCCTGTGCTTAGTTGCTGGAGTGAAACTGAGGCTTTTCTGGTCTCTACCCATTGATCTTTCATGCATTATCGGATCTGCGGCTGAGAAAAGCTATCCTTAGTCGCCCTCGGGGCTATGGAGGCACGCAAGCCATCACAGGTGAAGTCTAGTTGTGATGGATATAAATATATGTAATAGTAATATAATAAAAAGAGACAGTATGTTTCTCACCACCGACCTATAATAATATCTTCAGAAGCATTGAGAAAAAATGATTTCAGTGAGATCTACGTTGCACCTTGTGGGGAGAAAAACGTCTTCAGCGAGAATAAGTGCATTTACAAATTCCACGTCACTTCTGGTGCATTCCTTTCACTCTCTCCACTGCTCCTCTGTTCTGGATTGACTTTAAGCGTTGTTGCATCTAGTTTGTTGTGGAAACACCAGAAACTGACCTACCTTTTTTACGGGATTAATCGATAACGTATTTTTATTGGATCATAAATTAGTCCGGCAATTGTGTAAATGCATTTAAATTTGACAGTTCTCATTTCCACTAACTGTATCAGTATTCTGACTATGCCCTTCCCCCCCCCCCCCC